CACACACACACACACACACACACACACAGACAGACACAGACACACACACACTCCACGGCCGCCCCACCACACACGGTCACACTTCAGAGTACTTTGGAACCACACAGTGGACGACAGCTTTCCACATGAAGCTGCTACATTTCCAACAAACGAGGCTGAAACGAGCTGCTGGTTTTGGTCGGCGAACACGAGCCGAAGTTTTTAAACAAAGACCAGTTAGCCCTCAGAGTGTGAGTCAGGAAGGACTATCAGCTACCATCACCCTGAATTTGAGCTCTGTAGCTATAAAGTTTATTGAGTTCGACTCATTTTTTGTGTTTGCTCGATTAGACGTGGCGGCCATCTTGAATCCAAACGTCAAACAGGACATTTGTCCCGAAGCGGCTCAGACGTTTCGGACTCGATGCCTTCAGGATCGATCAAACCTGAGCGGCTCTGCTCCAGCTGGGCTCAGGTTTCAGCTCCGGACCGGAGCCCCTCATCGTTTATTAAAAACAGACTTCAGGGAAGCTCCGGTGTCCAGAGAGGGAGAGAGGGAGATAAATCAGAAACAGCTCCTCTCAGGATCCATTCCTCTCTCGGCTCGTTTATCTGTCAGGTGTGAGTTTACGGCTGCAACCAGCCGAAGCTGTCAACAAACAGTTTGTTAACTCAATCTGCAGAACAAACAGCAAGAAAACCACATAAAGAAGGCCGAGGCTAAAAGAACAAGATGTTAGAGCTAAAAGAAGCAGAACACCAGCTAAACGCAAAAGGAAGAAGAGCACTAGCTAAAGGCTAAACGAAGCAGAACACCAGCTAAATGCTAAAGGAAGTAGAGCACTAGCTAAAGGCTAAAAGAAGCAGAACAACAGCTAAACGCTAAAAGAAGAACACCAGCTAAACGCTAAAAGAAGAACACCAGCTAAACGCTAAAAGAAGAACACNTAAATGTTAAAGGAAGTAGAGCACTAGCTAAAGGCTAAAAGAAGCAGAACAACAGCTAAACGCTAAAAGAAGAACACCAGCTAAACGCTAAAAGAGGAACACTAGCTAAATGCTAAAAGAAGCAGAACACCAGCTAAATGCTAAAGGAAGTAGAGCACTAGCTAAAGGCTAAAAGAAACAGAACAACAGCTAAATGCTAAAAGAAGAACACCAAGAACAAATCCTAAAAGAAGCAGAACACCAGCTAAACGCTACAAGAAGAACAACAGCTAAACGCTAAAAGAAGAACACCAGCTAAATGCTAAAAGAAGCAGAACACCAGTAGTAGTAGAACACTTGATAAAAGCTCAAAGTAGAAAAAGCTAGCTATAAGTTAAAAGTAGCACAAATTTAGCTAGAAATTAGCAAAACAGTAGCTAACAGCAGCAAAAGAATAGCTAAAACCTAAAGTATCAAAAGGCTAGCAACAAGTTGAGTACCATTCCTAAAAGTAGAGAAACTTTAGCTAAAAAAAGCAAAATATCACCTAAAAGCTAGAAAGAGCAAAATAGTAGCTAAAAGCTAAAAGTTCCAAAGGGTTAGCTACAACTTAAAGTATCAATAGGCTAGCTATAAGTAGTGAGTAAAAGTAAAGAAACAATAGCTGAAAAAAAGCACAATATTACCTAACAGCTAAAAAGAGAACAGTAGCTAAACGCTAAAAGTATCAAACGGCTAGCTAGAAGAAGCAGAACGTTGACTAAAAGTTATACACTGTTTGATAAACAGAACAGTAGCTAAAATTAAAAGAGAAGAAGCTAATAACTAAAAACAGCAAGCAACAAAACAGTTGCTAAAAGCTAAAATAGCATACAAAGACAATAATAGAGAAAACTTGCTAAAGCAGCCAAAAAGTAACAGAGCAGTAGCTGAAATTATGATTAAAAACTGGAAATAGTACAACTACAACTTTGAAAAGAATAAAACCTACAACACGAAATCATAGCACCCATCTCCTGAACAGCTGAATGTTTATTTACCTTCCACCACATCTTTTTTATAGTCGCTGTCATTGTCGCTGTCGGTGGGTCTGTAGTAAATGTAGAAACCCTGGATTGGAGTGTTGTTGTTGCTCGATGGATTATACTGGATTAAAAACAGAAAACATATCAGATTTTAATACAAGAAAGAAAGATTCTTCAGCTGCTAACGGTACGGATACTCTGCCTGAAGCTCAGGAAGTAACAGGCTGTACGTAAGCAAAGGAAGGCTAAAAGCTACAATTCTCTGAAAGGGAACAAAGGTAAGCTAAAGGCTAAAAGTAGCTATCTGAAATGGAACAAAGGTAAGCTAAAGGCTAAAAGTAGGCAATACAAGCAAAATGACAAGCTAAATGCTGAGGTAGCAAATGGGATGCTAAACATAGACAAGGAGTAGATAGACATCAAAAAGAACAAATAGCACCTAAAAGCTAACGTAGCAAAAGGGTAGTTAAAAGTAGCCAAATGCTAGCTAGATGTTAAAAATAGCAAAGACAAGCTAAAGCTAAGGTAACTTAAAGGAAGCTAAAGGTAGCAATACTATCTACAACTGAAGGTTATCTAGAAGCTAAAGTAGTAAATACAACTAAAAGTAACAAAATAATAGCTTGAAGCTAAAAGCAGAAAAATACAATCTAGTAGCTTAAAGTGTCATTATTTTTATTTTAGGGGTCAGAAATTAAGTAACAGATACATTTAAGGGACCTAACCCTGGAAAACAACCAAACACGTAAAGAACACGTAATCTGGGGTGACTCACGGTCCAGCGCAGCATGATCTGTGTGTCGCTGATGGCGTCGGTGGAGGAGATGTGCGGTCCGACCACGGGGCGGTCAGCAGTGCGGCTGGCCTGTGGAACCTGGTAGGGCTTGGAGGGGGTGCTGGGGGGGCTGTCGCCGTGCGAGTTCTCGGCTATGACCCGAAACTTGTACACGGACCCTGTGGGCAGGAAAACGCTCGGTGTGAACGATCCTTCTCGTGATCCTCAGTTCGTACCGTAAACACAAACAAAAAACTCACCAGGCTCCAGATTCCGGATCTCCACGGACAGTTTGAGGGGAGAGATGTGATCCGCGGCCACGACCCACTCGGCGCTGCGGCCGCGTCGGTACTCCACCCGGAAGGCCGTGATCGGAGAGCCGCCGTTGGCCCGTGGGATCCACCCGACGTACACCGAACTCTCCGTGGCCATGGAGATGGTGGGCCGGTCTGGAGCTTCGAGCACTGTGAGGGGGCGAGGAGAGCCTTTATGTCAGGAGCGCAACAAATAAAATAAAATACACCAACGGGCAAAACGTGGGAAATAATTCAGACGAAACCACCGGAGAAGGTTTGTAGAGTGAGTACTTACCGACCAGACGCTAAGTCACGGTTAGAGAAGGCAAGAGGGACGGAGAGAGAAGAGGGTTAGTCAGAAGATTAAGAAGAGGTGAAACAAAGTGAGCAAAACCTGCAAACATCAAAATCACAAAATGTGCTTTGATTTATGGACGTTTAATAGTCCAAATCCAGACTTGAACCCCTCAAAAATTGATAAAAGATCGATATATTTCATATTAAATATTTTTCGTATTTTAGATTTTTAGCGTCAAGATCTTGGTTGTTTCCCTGCCTGTCCCCTGTTGGACTTGGCACAGCTGCAGCCACTCCACTCATCCCTTTAAGTCTTTCAGTTCATGAGGTTTGGATTCCAAAGGACCCAAAAGAAGACCTTCTTACAGAGCAAGACTGATTTCAACACCCACCTCGGTCGAGTTTGACCCCGAAGTTCGTCCTCGAGGGTCTCTCCTCGTCGTCTTTGGGAGGAAGCGGAACGATGGAGGGCTTGGAAGGATTCTTGTTGCTGGATGAGGTGTTCTTCTCTGAAATCAAACGAGGAAAAGCCGCAGGTGAGACAAAAGGAGGAGCCAGACTTAAAATAAAATAAAGGTTTGGTAAAGTTTCCTCATGGTTTCCTCAGAATTTCAGGACCAAAGTCATTTTGTTGCAGAAACTTTTGCCAAATTTCGGGAACACAGAATGTTTCTTGTTTGCATATGGTTTCTCTGGATACTCTTTAGATACTCAGTCCACAACCATGCATGTTTATAGACCTGCCTTTAGAACCAGGCTCTGTGATCTTATTGGTATTTGTCTGGTTAAGAAAAGGTTAATAATAAATACACGTTTTAAGCAATGTTTGTGTTGGTCAACCAAGAGTAATTGGCTTTTTGCCGTAGTTCTTTTGGAGTCAGAAAGTTTGGGAATCACTGATCTGGAGTACAGGACTATCACCTGATGTACAAACTACATGGGTACCAATAAGTACCAACCATCGATGGTGTCAGAACAGTACTTTTGAAGGAACCACCCCAGTAACGAGCGTTTGCACTCCTAAAGAAACGAGGCTCGACGATACTTTAAAAAATAACGAGTTTCATGGTATTAAGACAAAAGCACACAAAAAATTAATCTTTGGCATCGTATTGAAAGATATTTAAGGCAGCGGTTCCCAAACTTTTCAGCGTTTGACCCTCAAAATACCAGCAGCAGAGACCTGAGCCCCCAACTGTTGTTGGATCATAAACATTGTTTTTACGTCATAAAAATAAGAGCATAGTAACAATATTCATTAAGCTATTTTTGTCCATTTTAAGTACACTAACTTAATCTTTTGTAACAACAAAGACAAAGAAATGTTGTTAGTTGTTATTTTCTAATATAATTAATTCAGAAAATATTTTTAGGACCCAACCTTGATGTTTTGGACCCGATCTCAACTTTGGGAACCACTAATTTAAGGTATAGGAAAGGCATGATGGCAACTTTTGTGGCATCTGGTCACTTTAACCCATATTTCTGACAGGAAACCTTAAAAGGAATCAAGGTATGGTTGACCGGTTGTCGTTGGACCGACCCTTTCCAGTGCGGAACGTCAGCATGGCCGGCTGACCCTCGCCCGCCGAGCTCCGAGCCACCATCAGGACCTCGTACAGACTGGAGGGCTCCAGCTCGGACAGGTGCAGGCTTTTCTCGCTGCCGGGGACTCGGACCGTCTGCCACTTCCCCACCATGGTTCCCATCTCGTCCACCTGACGGAAACACAAACCGTCAGGGCTTTTCCCGGTGGACAATCCGGGCCTTCGAGGACGGTTTCTCTCCTCACCTTACGGTATTTGACAAAATAGGCGTTGATGGGGCTGCCTCCGTCCCGGCCCGCCCTCCACTCCAGGTCGTACACGTCGGGTTTGTGGGTCTGCGGCGGGCTGATGATGATCGGCGCCTCGGGGACGGGACGATCGCCGCTCCTGTCGGTCGGCTGGTTGAAGGTGTCGCCGTCGTCTTCGATCGGGAAGCTCTCGTCGCTCTGGATCGGGTGGAGTGATGGTAACGTCTCCGGTAGAACGCCGGCGGTGGAGCCCAAATACGAGTCTGTTTGGGGACAAATATCAAAGATACGTAACTATCATTTTATGTTCATTTATCTGTTTGATAACAAAAATAAAGAGTGATTTTTTGATTTTTGGCTGTTTTGTTGCAAAAAACAAAGAGGATCATTTCTTTGCAGGCAGATGAACGTTAGCAATAAAACCTATTTTCTTCTACATGAATAAATCCATTCACGTCTCGTTGGACGAGTAACACCTGAAGAAAAGGAAATAAAGTTTCTCAGTCAGCGGTGAAAAGCAAAGCCCTGATGGAAAGTTTTGGAACCGGCCTCTTAGATCTACATAAAATAACACATGTTCTGCAGCGCCGCTTCAAAGCTGTTTTTTTATTTTTTTTAATGAAGTATTTTGCTGAAACCAGAGCCCGGTCCACCTGAGCAAACTGTGCTGAGACTGAGAACGCTTCGGTCCGAGCTCGGAGGGAATCAGAAATGAATATTTGAACGTGAACAAGCCAATACGGAGGTGAAGGAGTCGGATTTACGGTTCGCGGTCCGGAGGTCTTGTAACGGGCTGCTGCACCGGTTCACTTTTCTGAACAAACAGACCCGAAGCCGGTAACACTAGAGCCGACCCACAGCCAGCTGCCGCACATTCCAAACAAAACAACCGTTAAAGTACCGGAGAGAACCGGACACTCGCAGACCTGATGATGTTTGTGATAAATCTTTGAAAAAAACAAAACAAAAACAAAATACCATTTTAAACTGATGGTGAAATTTCTCTGGTTTCTGTGGCTCTACTTGAACCTCTTACACGTTTTAGTTGAGTTTGTATTAAGATTCTTGGTAAGTTACGTTTATGAGTTATGTTTTATTGACTGGAAGACCCAAGTTGACCATTTTTCTTCCATACTTTTCTCCAGTTTATGTGAAATTTACCAGATTTATTGGTGAAAAATCTTTATTTATAACTTTCAAACACAAGACTGTGGATTCCTAGGTTTTACTTCTTGTAGTGAGACAAATTGTTCTGTATATTTTGTATTTTAGGACCTTTTTTTACTTGACGTCACTCATGGGTTTCCCTAAAATTAAATTTTAGTGTTTGTCAGAGTTAAACTCATAAAAATCCAGTTTGTTCTCCTCGCATTACCAGACGAGATGTTACTATTTAATAATTTTATAGCTGCAGCAGACGTAAAGCAGCTTCATTCTGTTGTTTTATCTGTTAATAAAAAGACCAACATTGATGGATAAAAAGGCATCTGTTGTAATGGCGATGAATAAATCCAAACTAAACACATTTCAGATTGCGTCATGGTTATAATAACAGTTTGGTTTGCGTACCTGGTACCTGAAAAGAAAAACTAAACTAAGCTCAGAGTGTTTACTTCTGCTCAATGTCCTCTCATTATCAGTCTTTAGTTTTTCAGCAACGATGAAGCAACCCGCCCGATCCGGTCAGATTTTTCCCTCCCTCGTGTATCGGCATTAATCACTCTGCAGATACGCGGTGGGTTAACGAGGGGGGCCGTTACAGAGCAGCCAGAGGAGGAGAGGGAGCCCAGGAGGAGGCAGTTGTGTACGATGTTGACAGCCGGGTGGTCTGGTCCTCATCAGAACCTTTCACAACTACTCCTTACATTCCAGCGTCCGGGGGCTTATCCCCGACAGCGTGCACAAAGCTCACTCTCACGCTCAGGCTCAGTTCAAGGCTCAGGAGGACGGCCTTGGCCCGGACCCCCACCCCAACCACCAGCGCTCACACAAACACACACATAGTCACAAAAACAAGGACGCTCTGCGGATACAGTACGTGCACACCTGCAGAGATCCCACCTGCTAAGACGCTCTAAACCCAGAAGGTTTCTGATAAATGACGAGGTTGAGTTTCTCAGAGATTCGCTGTAAAACATTTTCATGTCTGTCTGTTGTTTCTCTGGTTCTACAGTCTTATCCTTGAGACGCTGCTCACTTTCTGGATCTTACTTTCATGTGAACAGAAGCAGCAGGTAAAGACACTCTCATAGCTTCGTAAGGCAACAATGAGATCGCCTCATTTATTTCAGCAGCTCAATAAAAACTTTCTGAATTTTAAAAAAACATCTAAATTTAAGATTTTTTACTTTGAGAATCTATCTTTAGGAAGAAATGTTATATAATAAAAATAAATTAAATGCTGGTTGGTCAGCTAATGGGCTGTTTGGTTTGTAAGTTGCTAGTTGAGTAATTGGTCAGGCGGTTGATAAGTTGGTTGGCAACTAATTAGTTGGGCAGTTCGTTAATTGGTTTGTTAGTTAGTTGTTCAGTTGATTGGGTGGTTTGGTAATTAGTTAGTCCATTGGTTGATTTGTTAGTTGGTTGGTTGGTTTGTTACTTGGTTGATTTGTTAGTTGGTTGGTTGGTTTGTTACGTGGTTGATTTGTTAGTTGGTTGGTTGGTTTGTTACGTGGTTGATTTGTTAGTTGGTTGGTTGGTTTGTTACGTGGTTGATTTGTTAGTTGGTTGGTTGGTTTGTTGGTTGATTTGTTAGTTGGTTGGTTGGTTTGTTACTTGGTTGCTTTGTTAGTTGGTTGGTTGGTTTGTTGTTTGATTTGTTAGTTGGTTGGTTGGTTTGTTACTTGGTTGCTTTGTTAGTTGGTTGGTTGGTTTGTTGTTTGATTTGTTAGTTGGTTGGTTGGTTTGTTACTTAGTTGATTTGTTGTTTGGTCAGTTGATCAGTTGGTTGTTTGGTTGGTTGAACTGATGAATGAATGAAATAAAATACTTTCATTTTGTTTCTCCTGATGAACTTATTGCTGGTTTATCGGTGCCTTGTATGTCAAAAACACTAATCACTCACAATAACTGATAAATTTGCTCACTTTAAAAAAATGAACACAAAACATGCTCATCGTCAATATTTTTTAAAGAAATGTATATACGTAAATAGAAATAAAGGCTAAAGTTTTGATTTCTTGTTTCATATTAATCTTTGTTATCAAACCTTAATTAGTCGGTTTGTAAAGAAAATACAGGAACCAACTTTAGTTTTTGCACAGCACTGTCCATTATAAATGTTTTCGTGAGTTTAACAGCTTTCTGTCTTTCAAAGCAAAGATTAAAGTTGATTAATAAATCAGCAACCAAACAGGTGATGGATTTTACCTGACTGTGTTCTGAGCGTCCCGTGAGACTGAGCCGATCCGATCCCGTTGTCCAGCAAACACTGATACACTCCTTGGTCCTGCATGGTCACATCTGTAATAATGAGCGAGGATCCAGAGATATGGAAGTGGCTCGATGGAGCGATCGGGTCTGCGTTGAACAGCCAGGTGATGTTTGGGGAGGGGCTTCCTCTCACGGAGCAGGTAAAATGAGCCGAGGAGCCCGAAGAGACCACCTGGTCACCCAGACCCTCTGTGATGGAAGGAGATTCTGTGGAAGAGAAACATTAATTTCACTGCCTTCTGTTAAATTTCTCCCTAAACTTGTTTTTATTTTTATTTTTCTTACCGAGAACATTCACAGTGTAGTTGTGGCTGACCACGGTCCCTCGCTCCGTCTGAACCGTGCAGACGTACGTCCCTTCATCACTCCTCGTCGTCCGAACAAAGACCAGGTTGTTGTGCCGTCGCTGGTGAGAAGGCCCGAGTTTGACCTCCTTACTGTTCTTAAACCACTTGGCTGTCGGCGTGGGACTCCCAGACACGACGCACTCCAACGTCATTGGCTGCGAGAGCTGCACCGAAACGCTCGTCGACCTGACGGGATAAACTATCCGAACCGAGGAGGAGGAGGTGGAGTCAGAATCTGAACAAGAGGGGAAAAAAGAGGTGAACAATGCGAGGAAGCTTAAAAACCTTCTGCAATCGCAACGTAAACGCCATCCGACTCACGTTTGACCGCCAGCTTTGTGCCGTGAGACTGAACCACGATGTCTCCGGTAACGGGGTTGACCGCGCCACATTTATACATGCCTTGGTGCTGCGCTGAAGCCGAGATGATCTGCAGGTTTCCAGACGGAAGCACTAAATAATTATCTGCGGGAAGCAAGTCACAATGTTTCATCAGGAAAAAAGAAAAAGCAGCAAAAAAAGGGAGAAACTGAAGTCTTTCATTATTACTGACATCATCAGACAACCACTTAAATATATGAGAATATTCTAAAAACAGTTCATAAAGGTCAAATAAAACATGAAAGTAATTGTTTTTTTCTTTATGAAACAGAAATTTTAAACAATTATTGACCATATTTTTTTTTCGGAGCTGTAAAAAGACAAGACGACAGCAGGAAAACCAGCTACTTATAATTTCTTATAAATTTGACAAACTACGACTGTTTAAAGCAGCAATTACTGAGATTTTGAAACCACTTGGTTAGATTTAGGAAAATTGATTAAAAGAAATTGAGAATAAAAAATGTCTGGTTTCGTCAAAATGGCCATAATTTCACATTTTCTGCTGCCGTTTTAGACAGGCGATATAATTGCAAGTGTGTAAGTGTGTGTGTTAGCAAAATACCTCATCATACACTGGACGGATATTAAATAAACTCTTGGAAATTGTTCAACTAGCTGATTAACTTCAAGATGGCTGAAACAAACGCAAAAATAAGCTATAACTGTCAGTTTTACAGAAAATGAGCTAAAATTTGGTGTGGTAGTAGACAAACTGTGAGATCAGCTTGATCACACAAGATCTTGGTTTTAAATTTAGCAAAGATGACAACGAACCGGAGACAAAAACAAAACTGACCGAAACATGTCCACGGCTTTCTTAAAGCTGCTATCGTCTAAATTATTCCTTCAATAATGATGTCGTTGTGTCCAAACGCACACAAACAGGAAGTGACCGTTGACTCTGCAGGTTCAAACCCACCTGTTGACTCTTTAATCCAGTCTCCTCGGACTCTGAGTCGAGGCTGAGCTGCGGGGACGCTGTGCGGCAGAGGACACTCTATAAGAACTGTACCTCCTTCCTGCACTGATAATGTCCGCCGCCGGACGTCTTCATACTCTGATATTTCTGAATAAATTCAAAAATAAAAAAAAGAAAGAAAAGGAGAAGATTGTCTTGATTAGAGCGGTTCTACTGCAGGAGCTTTGCTTTAATGTGGCCGGAGTATCAGTGCAGCTGTTTGTTTTGGATCGCTGGGTTTGTTTATTGTTTCAGTCCGCCTCCGATACAGATCCACATCAGGGTCAAGCACTTAACGTGGAGAGGAAGAGAAGGCAACATCCCAGCAGGAACATAACACACTTCCACACCGGAAAGCCCGAGGCTCATTAAGGAAGCCGGTCAAGAGGGATCTGGAAGGTCGCCCGAAGTAAAAACTCTGACTGCTTCCTTCCCTTCCACCACTCAGCAGCCTCAAAGCAGCCTTGCTTTTCCCAAGGCTCCTTTTTTTTTATTTCCACGCTCTTTGAAGTGTGCAGAGAGGCGTGATCCTCCTTACCTGCCAACGCCACGTGAGCCAGGCGGCTGGCGACGGCTGGCCCATGGCCGAAGCGTGCCACGCACTGGTAGACCCCGGCGTGCCGGGACGTCAGGTTGGAGATCCTGAGGGAGTCCTGAGCCAGCTCCACACCGGGCAGCGTGTCCCGGTCCAGCGGGAGGCCTCGGAAGCGCCAGGAAACGGACGCAGACGGAAGACTCACCGAGCACCACAGACGGACCGTGGAGCCCGGACTCTGGACCACGGAGGTCGGCTCGGAGAGGAAGGAGGGATACTGGACTGGAGAGAGAAGAGGCGAAACAGAAATTAATACAGAAATACTTTGTTGTTGAGAACCATTGTTTGTTGGCTCCTTAACCTCAATACTGCCCACTTCTTGTTTTTAGGAGACATACAATTTTGATGCCGATTCTGATGGAGGAACACCTGCAAAACTGGAGCTTAAGCCTGTCACGATAAATTTTAATGGACGATAAATCGTCTCAGAAATGATCACTATCAACGATAATATTATTTGGAGACAATTTTAAACTAATACAGAGGGGAAATCTGAAAAATTGCTTCCCACCTTTTATATTTAAAAGGGCACAATTTATTCTGTTCTTGTCTTCTGGCTTCATAAAATAATCGTGGTCACCTGCACGCTGCTTACGAAATTTACACAGCATTAAAAAAAAAACAACTCCCGGTGAACTCAAGGTTCGGCTTGGTATCCCGAGGCATCGCTAGCTAAAAGAAGGCATCTAGCTAGCCGGGATTTTGCTGTTGGCTCTGATGAAGGAACACCTGCAGAACCGGAGCTTAGGCCCGTCACGATAAATTTTAATGGACGATAAATTGTCTCAGAAATTATCGCGATAAACGATAATATTATTTGGGGACCATTTTAAACTAATACAGAATGGCACAATTTATTTATTTTTTGTTATCCTCTGGCTTCATAAAATAACTGAACGCTGCATATGAAGTTTACAAAATTTAGGTAATGTTAACAAAAAAAAAAACTCTTAGTGAACCCAAAGTTCGGCTTGGTATCCTGAGATGTTGCTAGCAAAAAGAAGGTGTCTAGCTAACCTGGATTTTGCTGCTGATTTTGAAGGAGGAACACCTGCAGATCCGGAGCTTAAGCCTGGTACGATATTTAATGGATGATAAATTGTTTCAGAAATTATCACGATCAACGATAATTTTATTTGGGAACCATTTTAAACTAATATAGAAGGAAATCTGTCAAATTGCTTCCCACCTTCTCTATTTAAAATGGCACAATTTATTCTTTGTTATTCTCTGGCTTCATAAAATAATTGCGGTCATCCGAACGCTGCATATGAAGTTCCCAAAATTTACGTAATGTCAAAAAAAAAAAAAAAAACCTCTCGGTGAACCCAAAGAAGGCGTCTAGCTAACTTTTCATGCTACAATGTGCCTGGCAAATAACTGACCCCAGAGTTCCCTCCTGAATAGAAAAGAGGGAAGCAAGTAAATGAAAATGATCAACTTCATTATAATTTATCAGGCGATTAATCGATTTATTGTGATCTGAGAGACAGAACAACTTACGAGAGCAGCTGATGAGCAGCGACTGGCTGAGACACAGCACAGTGGACAGGAGGACCCCTAGCCCACCGTCCATGGCGGCCTGTCAGCCCTGCCAGCGGCCGTGTTGCCCGGAGCGCACGCCCTCCAGAAAAACCTGAAACGAACCAAAAAGAGGAAAAAAACACAAACATGAGGAGGAATGACGAATAAACATCCAGAGATGGGTCTAAGCAGGAAAATAAATCAAATAGGTCAGGTAAAAAAAAACAACCCTAATCCTGTTTACACACTCCTTGATCTCCACCTCCTGAGTGACCAGCTTCTCCTCCCTGTGGGGAGATCTCGTGCTAATAGGAGCGTCGGCGGAGCAGCTCGCTCCTCATGTCACTCTCCTGTCACACTGTGGTGCCTCCTCATAGGTTCACCGTAGCCTGAAGTGCAGGCCAGACGCTCGGGGAGGTGGGACGAGACAAACGCCACAGAAAAAAAAAGGAGTGGAGGGCACATAATTAGGAGCATTCCTCAACCCTTTTACTCCCTCCTCCTCCACATGTAGCACCTCCTTCTCCTTTTACTCTGAGAGTAATCCAAAAGCAGGCTTTGATCCCAGGCTCCTGGTCCCAGGCCCGGAGCCCGAGGCTGGGGAGACAATGGCCATCCAGCTGTGACTTTCACATCGGTGCTTCGGTGGCTCCGAGACTTCAGCTGGAAGGGCCAACGGAGGCTGAAGGGGTGGGGTCAAACGAGACGCAACCACGCCTGGGTGGGATGGCAGAAGGTGAACAAGTTTCTAACCCCGCTCATTCTTTAACTCGACAACTTGTTTCATATTCGGCACAATCAGGCAGGTCAGTTTGGTTAGCCTCTCCTCTCAGGGCTGCACAAACCCCCACCCATCGTTTTATTTTTTTTTCCCAGTAAATGACGTTTATTCTTGTTGTTAGGTGGTCTGTTCATATCGTTGCCCACCCAGTTTCACACCTCTGGATGTCTAAATATAAAATAATACATTTACAGGGTTCCTACAGTTTAAGGCAAGTTAAATTTAAGACCTTTTAATGCCAAGTGAAATTAAATTTAAGACCAATTTCACAATAAACCCAAATGACAAAAAAAAAAAAAAACCTGTGGCAGAAACTCACGAATCAAAGTATTTTTGGTTGAAGCATTCAAATATTGCTAATAGACCAATTGTTTTTATCCATATCTAACTGTTTTTTCATCAAACATAGCAAAAACCTTCTTAGCAGTCATTTTTAAACTTAAATTAATTTCTGGAAATCCTCCAATGACCTAAAATTTGGAGTTTTAGGACCCACACTGGGGTCTTAAACCCAATTTCCTGTAGATAAACCTTAAAGTGCCTGTGGCATAAAATGTTTGTAAGAAAAATGAACGCATTTTTGGAAATACAACATTATTAACATTTTACAAAACAAATTTCACGTTGCTCAGATGGACGTTTGTTGAGATATTTGGATGTGAAATAACAGGAAGTGATGTCAAAGGATAAATGTCTGCACGTGAATATTTAACAAAATAAATGTTACCAATTATTTTAGTATTTGAGACGAATCATCCTATTTACAATGTGTTAACGTTTCTGAGACTTCTGAAAGATTGATTTAAGACATTTTAAGGCTAATAAAGGCCTTATTTGTGGATTGATGAATTCAATGCCTTTTAAGACGTTTTAAGGATCTGCAGGATTTACTATTTAAAACCAGCATAGTGAGCTACACACCAGTAATTAGTCAAACTATTGAAACATTTCTTATAATGGGTTTAATTAAAGTCAAAACAACCGTGAAAGTCTACAAATAGCGTCTTTTACCAGAACCCTAAATATGGTCGATATGATCCAAATACATTAAATTCAGTTTACCAGTATATTTATGGAATCAACAGTGAGGACTGCATTTGTATTTTGCATTTCTTTTTACAGCAACCGAATGGCGGCTGACCGCTGTCAACTTGCAGTTAAAGGGTAAATTATAACAAAAATACAGATACAGTGGTTTTTTTTGTTTCATGACTGTCTCAAAATTGGACCAAAAATTGGCCCAACATTCCTGTGACGTGAATATCCTTCAAAACAAAAGTAGAAGAAAACGTCTTTATATTTTGGAAAATTGGTATAATACACACAATTTTACACATTTTGTGTACATAACTGGCATATTTTCTTTTGAATTTGACTAAGCTAAAATGTAACAGGAAATGACATCATGAGGGGATTATTAAAGAAAAGGGAACTCCTTGGTTTTTATTTATTGAAATAATATTATTTGAACCCTGACTTTTCTTCATCTCTCCCTGAAAGTGACTCAAAATGATATAAAAACCATCAGATTATATTCTAGCACTGCTTTGTTCACATGAAGACATTATCCTCCTGACATCACTTCCTGTTACTTCATGCTAATATTTCATCAATTGTTCAACTCAGCGGCATGATTTTTTAAAAATATTTTTCATTATGTTATCAGTTAAAGTTCCAGAAATGCTTTCATATAGCAAAAATTTAATGTCATAGTCACTTTCAATTCTACCATTAATATAATAACTCTTGAACACCTTTGTGGTTAAAATCTGGTGTGAAATAATAAAGAAATAAACATAAACAGGCCTCATCATTGTCTCTGGCAGCTGAGCTGAATGTACCTCAAATGGTCGTCTGATTCGGTCTCTTTGGTACAATTCATCTGTTAGCTAACTAATTACATTTACAGTATTTAGTTACTGTAAATGAAATTACAATAACTAAAATTGTATAATATTTTTACAAAACTAGCTAAGCAAAATAACACCAACAAAAGTTGGGAGAAAGTGGCAACGTCCACTTTGGGATTTCTTTGACTGCGAGAAAAATAAAATCAAGTGTCTTGTAGTGGAAACAGGTGATTAAAGTTTAACAGATGAAATACTTCTCAAGAGAAAAACTGCATGAATCAAATTCACACAACATGGCTAACTATGACTATTTTGACGCTAACTTCTCTCAGTAGCTCCGTGAAAAACAAGCAACAGGTAGCACCGGGTTGGAGACAACAGTTATCATTGTCCTAAAATAATCCCCAAGTTTTTAGTTGGAAAAACTGAGTTACAAAATTATTTTAGGAAGGTGTTGCTATAATGGACGCTTTAACTAGTGAGCAAATAGCTGCTGGTTAGTTAACTCACAGGAACATCACAAGCTCGAGGACGCATCGGCAAATATGTTTATTGAAACTATAAAATAATCAATACTAGAACTAATAAAAACTAAACTAAACTAAAACTGAGTATTAAAAATGCAATAATAACTAATAAAAATTAGCAAATCCAATGTAAAAACTAATTAAAACTAACTGAATTAAAAGAATAAAAGTCAAAACGAAATAAAACTAAACTATAATGAAAAATCCAAAACTATTATAACCTTGCAGATTAGTTGATTATCAAAAGAGTCATACGGTGCAGACCTATTGGATCATGACCAAAACAATGAAATTCCAGAAAGAAAAAAATTGTATAGGTCTTCTGGACGGGTTCTTCTCTAATGAAACGTTTCGTCTCTCCTCCAAGAGACTTCTTCAGTCTGAGAGTTTCAGGCAAAATTCAGGCTTTTAAGCACTGCCTCCATGTGACTGATACTCACATCACATGGCTATCGTTGACACCTAATTAACACCTATTGTTAACAGGGGGTGGAGTGATACTGGCAGTAGCCACACTGTAGGAGGGGGACAACTGAAAACGGAGGCCTCCACCTCTGTTTAATGATGGACGGTCTTTCTTCACAAAAATGGCTTCTTTTACTCCTCTCTCAAACCAACGTTCCTCTCTATCAAGAATGAGAACATCCTCATCTCTGAAAGAGTGACCGCTGGCCTGTAAATGAGTGAAAACTGCAGAGTTCTGGCCATTAGATGCAGCTCGTCTGTGTTGGGACATTCTTTTGAACAGTGGCTGCTTTGTTTCCCCGATGTATAACTGGTCGCAGTCCTCCTGGCACTTAACAGCATATACAACATTGCTCTGTTTGTGCCGGGGCACCGGATCTTTGGGGTGAACCAGCCTTTGCCGTAATGTGTTTTGGGGTTTGAAAGCCACTGGGACATCATGTTTAGAAAATAAACGTCTCAGTTTCTCTGAAACACCCGCAACATACGGAATAACCACTGGTTTGGAATGAAATTCCAGGTACGAGCGACCAAACTGAGCTTCCTCTGTAAGGTGGCAGGGTTTGGTTTTAGAGATGAGCTGAGGTGGTTGTTGGACATTTTATATATTGTTGTGTATTTTTGTCCTCTACTTCACAAACTACATGCATACATATTCCAAAGAGAAAGTTCCTGCAGACGTCACAAGTAGCTCGTCAAACAGTTTAATTATAATGCTAACCCCTCAAAACGTCAAACTGTGGGCTTCTTGAGGTCACGCCATATGTTGGTGATAAAAAAGAAAGAGCCTGTCGCCAAATCTCGCTCTCTTCATCGTGCTGTCAGAGGAGGGGAAGGGCCAGGAAATAATAAACTCCTCCAGCTCCTGGCTCACGCCCCCTTTCTCACCCCGGGGTCAAAGGTCAGAGGAGAGCAGAGGGAGAGGACGAACCAGCGGGTGTCCGGTAGCCCCGGGTCACCATCCGCTCTTTTAGTTTCCACCACAACCTCTTATTTGACTGATTTCAAACATAAAAAAGTAACTAAAACTGGTTAAAAAAATTAAAAGCATCCGGGCAGATCAGGCCCACATCTCTCAGAGCTGGCATTTCTCCATCTCACGGGTTGCAACAGGCCCCGCCACGCTGCCCCCATATCATCAGTGGAAACTATCTTTCTGCCTCTGCCGGAATAATCATATATAATTACAAAAATAACAACGGTGCTTCCATGACAAACGGGGCGGCACGGCGTGATGAGACAACCGGAGGTGAGTCCACCTCTCTGCTCCTCGCTCACTTCCTTTCACAAGTTTGGTCGTCTCAGCTCGTATATCCATCGGCCCGTAAAGTTCTGGAGAGTAAACACACACACAAACACACACACACAGCTGCGTATCTCCTCCATCGATCTGCCGTAACGAGGAAACAAACAACAAAAAAAAAAGGGGGGGCACCATTCCTGCTTCTTATCTGTTTGGCTTTTCCTTGTGACATCCGCCACGATGAGGCCTCGGTGGAGACAGACACCACGAGGCGCATCGACTATCCTTTATCGTCGCTCAGATCCACCCTGAGAGCTGCACGGAAATAAAACTACTATCTCTGTCGCAGAACCCAGTCCTTAAAACCAGAATCTTACTAGAACGCACCAGTCAAGGACGAGTTTGAGGGAAAAAAAATGCAAGAAAATACTCAAATTTTTACTTGGAATCAATCAATTTAGTACTTGTGAGACAACTCCCTGCAAAATTTGTCTGGTCCAGTTCTGGCCTACACAACACACTAACACTATGGATGGGCAAGCACCACATAAACCAAAGCTCAATCGAGCCAGTTGTGGCGTTGAAACATTTGGGCCACATAAAACAAATCACAACCAAGCCAATTGAGGCATTGACAGATTTGGTCCACATAAACCGAACCATAACTGGGCCAGTTGTGGTGTTGAAAGATGTGAGCCACATAAAAGAAACCATAACTGGGCCAGTTGTGGTACTGACAAATTTCGGCCACATAAACCAAACCAAAACTGAGCCAGTTGTGGAGGTGACAGATTCGGGCCACATAAACTTAACCACAACCGAACCAATTGTGACGTTGACAGATTTGGGCCACATAAACTTAACCATAACCGAGCCAATTGAGGCATTGACAGATTTGGTCCACATAAACCAAACCATAACTGGGCCAGTTGTGGTACTGACAAATTTCGGCCACATAAACCAAACCAAAACTGAGCCAGTTGTGGAGGTGACAGATGTGGGCCACATAAACTTAACCACAACGAGCCATTTGTGACGTTGACAGATTTCTGTTGCAAAAACTTAACCATAACCGAGCCAGTTGAGGCGTTGAAAGATTTGGGCCACATAAACCAAACCACAATCAAGCCAGTTGAGGCGTTGA